GGCGCTGTTCCGCGTTCACGAAACACCCTGTATACGCAATCTTTCGATCCTGCAAAGAGCGGAGAAAGTAACGCAACGATTCTCGAATCGATTGCGTTCTGGACAGCTTGACGAGTCTTTTTGGTACGGATCATTTAACGGCATAGTGAAAGTGTTTTTGATGCACGGCTAATGGATTTCTGGTCCACGATATAGAATTGGCTGGCGGAATGACAGATCACCGGAAACGTTTCAACCGGGAAGACTTTTTGGTTAGGACAGTCGCAGCGTGTTGCTTGAGCAGAACGCCAGTTTTCGAATGTTCCACGTTGGCTGTGAATACTGAAAAATTGTACCTGTTAGATGAGAAAGCGTGATAAACAGTATAAATCAAGGTGAAAGATAAAATGTACAAACGAAACTGCGTCATAAACAATACAAATGAATCTGCATCATGAACGATACTGACGACACTGACATTTATAGGTTATGGTACATCTGTTGGCATACCTGAGAACAGTCGATTATGTTAGCTGCTTATGTTATGTATTCCAATTGTTACTAACATTTGGTAATTATTTATAATGAGAACTTTTTTAAACGTGGCCTAACCTATATAAGTGAAGAAAATTTTTACTTGCACAACATGGCCGAAGAAAATTTTTATTCGCAGGAAATCTGCAGTCTACCGATCGGACGGTTAATATTGTCTGATGTCTCAATCTCGTTGAAAATTTCCGGCCATCTTGGAATAATTTCGGTGATCGTTTCCGCGTTTCATATTTCTTGCTCGAGATCCTATCAAGATTAATGAAAGTAATTAAACAACCGATCCGTGTTGATGGTAACTGAGGAAGATAGTACCTAGTCCATCATCGAGTTTCATCGAAGACCACGATGAATATAATCGACGTAACTTCCGACAATGCGGCAATAATAAATTGGTAAAAGTGGAATCGTTCGTTAACGTATTCCGTCGCGTGAATTTCCAGTTGTATAATTACGGGAAAAACGGAAGCCCAATTGAATTGCAAAGATGTGCTCTTCGGAGCTGTCGACGATGGCGCGCGGTCCTTTGTTACGATCGCGCTCGTTAACAAGTATACAAATTAAACTCGGTTTTAATTGCCGACGATAATATTACAAATGGCCTAATTAGCTCGTGCAACTTCCATTACGCAAGTGAAACTATCAATTAAGGAAACCAAGAACTTCCATGGAATTGAAGCTGTTCGTACGGTGAAATAAAACTGGAGAATTTAAATCTGTATCAGAAATTCTTTAATCTTCTTCAACCGAATCAAATTATCGGTGAAAATAGCTTTCTAATTGTAGCTCGAATGAATAGCTATGATTTTTCTGATTAAAACGACTCCAAACACGGTAAAAATCGCATTACTTTAACCTATTTTAATTAATAAGCAATCTACAGGGTGTATCACGTAACACGCACACCTAAAATAACTTTCATATCATGCTTTTTATTAAAAATTGTTAAACACATGGCTTCAAAAGAGAGTGGAGGCTTCTGCATGCAGAGGTTTCCAAGTTTTCACGGTCAAGTAATTTTAAGTTATTTGAGGTGTGCAAGTTACGAGACACACCCTGTATAATAAGAAGCTCTTCGATAAATTTTGTCCGATTTCCATCGTGTTTGGACTCATTTTATTCGGGAGAATCTCGGCTATTCAATGGTGTTGCAATGATCAAAGTAAGGCGAGAATTATCATTATCCTCTATCTTCGTGTAGTGTGACTATAGATTTTATGCATTCATGACAAAAATCAGTAGATCAAATACAAAACAGTAATGGCATTTAAGGAATTTATTAATAGTATTGTATATTTTTTAACTAGCTAAAATTGTTAAGAAAATAAGTACATGTCCATGTACCCCGTATCATCTGCAATAAATACAGTAAATTTTCAATCTGTTTACCTTCAATAACCAATTCATAGTGATCAAATTATTTTGGCCATCCAGTATGCAACAAGTTCGAGGAATAAAGAATTCAGATATTGAAAGTTCGGATAATTGAAGTTTTGTTTTAGTTATTTAAAAAAAGACACTCGAAACTCTTGAAAAATTTACTAAATGAATCTACAGTCAGTACAAACACAATTTCAGAATTTTGAAAAATGTTTTACGATGTTTGAGCAGTTAGAATTTCGGAAAAAGAAGTCCTATAACAATGAATCTGGACTCGTTTTAAAGCTTGAAGCTCCTATTTTTACATTCCATTATTCATTTTTTCCTACCACGATTTTCCATAATACAGCAGACGGAAACTGAAGACAGAAATTTACTCGAAAATGCTACAAATTCAAACGTCTCCAAAAACGTTGGAAACTTTCTTTTCCGAATGAGTCGACAACGAATTCGAAGACTGAAGCTTCCCCTTCCCAACGCCTCCACAAAATATAGTTTACGATTTTATCTAGTCATTCTATGCAATAAAATCTAGGAACATGTTCGGCCGTGTGAAGCCCTCGCTTCAAAGTAATACAGAGCGGTACACTTTGCATTCACAAGTCGATAAAGTGACTAAAAAAAATCGTACGTCAAAGTTTAAGAACGCGTTGTAAAGGGGAAGCTTCAATCTTCAAATCTAGGTTAGGTTCAGTCGCGAAAAAAATTGTCGAAAGTATTTGCATACGTTTCAATCCGTAACATTTCCAAGAAGGAGCATGTTTCCACTTTCGCACCTGCTGTATTATACAAAACATGTCTTTAAAAAAATGAATGATATGTAGCGAAAGTAGGAGCTTGAAGCTTTAAAATCAGTCCTGTTTCATTGTTTTTCGACTCTTATTAACGAAATTATAACGATTCAAACATCGTCAAACATTGTTAAACATTTCTGAAAAATTAGAAATTTTCTGTAAAAATACTTTTTCCATTGACTGTGAGGATCAGCTACGAGTTTCACTCGTACTCTCTATTTTTCTTCGCTTGCCCGAACGTTTTTGCGATCGTCGTTCCGTGTCATCGACGTAACAATCGGAAGCGATCTGTCGCAGGCCGAGGCACCTAAATCTCGAACCGTTTCTGTGCCCATTAGTCGCGAAAGAAAAATCGATCTGCCGTTACCGTCGATCGAGCTCGTTGTACTGGCTTCTCGAAAGGCATCTAGTAGAGAATTTCACTTCGGTCAATCGCGATGATCGAGTGAACGTCACGGAGGCCGGTGAAAGAACGCGAAAGCGGCCGCGAAACTGACATCCTGCGACCACGAAAGGACCTTGCAGGATTAAACTATCGAATTAAACGATCTGAACTAGTCGCATTCAGATTTCGCTTGCGGTTTGCTCCTGTCCTTTCATGGCGATCTAGTTCGGTTACACTTTTTCCGATCGGTTTTTAGAGCACACGCGATATAAAAGGAGATGAAAAATGATTTCATTAAAAAAAAAACCACGACAGTTACAATTCCAAATGTTGCTATTTTATATATATATATATATATATTATTTATATTGATATATTTACATTTATTTATATTATTATATTTTATATCACAAGATATTGTGATATGAATTAACTCAGACCTAATCCAGACCTAACTTACAATAATGAAGACCTAACCTAAATTTAACTTACAATGAACCCAGATCTAAAATAGACATAAAACATGTTTGTAATAATAGAGGCCCAATTCAAACTTAACTTAGGACGAACCTGGACCTAATTTCGAATCGATTACGATCGATTTTGTTTATCTACATGCACGTATAAATTTTGAAGAAAATGTAACGTATCGCGGCTGTCGATGTGTATTTTTGAGCATTTTCTCCGATTTTTAAGTTCAGAAATCTAGTTGTGAAAAATGAAAAACTTGAGAGTGTGGACAAAAATTCAGATTTTTTATAGAAGTAAATATCGCACAACTGCCACATTTTTATGGTAACAACATACTATCGAAATAGTGATTTTAGAATTTTCTCAGATTTTTCAATTTGTTGCGCCATGGTTAAACAAAATAAAAAATACCAATTTTTTGATGTCTCTTGCGTGACCGTTGTGGTCGAGAAATCATCGAAGCTGGGATGCTTCGGTTTTTGCAGGAATGATTTTACGAGTGTTTGGGGACAATGCAATGTTTTCCGATCGACGGTGATGTTGGTACATCGATGGGAAATGTCCGGTTGTAAACTGATAAGTTGCAAAGTGGTAGTCGCGCGTTGCACTCTAATTTGTCGGCTCTGAAATTGCCGAGTCTTCCTCGGAGGAAATTGCAACAACGGAGGGGGGTGGGGGGGGGG